TGGGTTCATACAAGCTTGAAACCCTGAACCCCCGGGTAACCCACCCAACCCAGACTGTGCAATGCCCAACCAAGTAAATCATACTCTAGTTGAATGTAAGAATCTAATTCACACGACCCCTTGAACCAAGAACGATCTATTTGAGCCCATTCTCGTGTGAATCCTGCCTTCTCTCTCCCCCCTCCCCTCCCTTCCTTCCCCTCCAGATCAAATTTGGAGCAACCTAGCTGGAACCTGAAAACCCACCGTGGGCCAGTTCCTCTCCCTCCTTCTGATCTACAAAATCTTAGAAGCAAAATATCTTTAAAAAGAACCACAGTTGTCTTCGCCGGCTTCTCCTAAAGACCCAAAGAGCTGAATTCTTCGGGGAGGGGGGCTCAGCTTCTATTTGATGGTCTCTGGTTGAAGTTTTACCCCACCCCTGATTTTTTAGCATGGAACCAAAAAGTCTTCCTCTTTTTTTTCCCTTCAAGGAGTTTCTTTTCCACCTCTCCTAGCCGGAGTGCAAGATTAGCCCAGATTTCAAGGTGCCTTCTTCAAGTTTTAAAAATAATGATGATAATAATAATAATAATTGCCCTTTATTTCTTTGCCTTTCTCACTCAAGTTTTCCCTTCTAGTTTCTTCCTTGTTCAGCCCCCTTCATTTTTTTTTAAAGCACCAGGCATTTAAAGGCTTATTAAGCGTGTAATAGCAGTTGACTGATAAAGAAGAGGTTTTAAATTCATTTAGTTAACTTGGGCCTGACCTAAAGGGGGGGGGGGAGTTCCCACTTAAACTGAGAACTTTAAAAGGACATGGGACCACTTTCCTTTTATTTAAAATGTCTCAAGTCCTTACTCTTCATTCATCAAACCCAGGACAAGCAATTTTTCCCCCTGCCTTTGGCATTTCTGATTCCCTAGTCTCCCCCCACCCCAAAAGATTACTGTTCCTTTCTTAATCTACCGTGAAAACTCCATTCTGTCCCCTTTCAAAAGATGTCAGCCAGCTAATCTCTCCCATTTTGTAGAGAGAAATTCCTGCGCCTTTTAAAACAAGTTTCTTGGGCCATTCAGTTCCCCCCAGTGTTGGGCAACAGCATTCTCTAAAGGCTAATGAATTTAGAATTAGCCATTTTTCTTCTAAGGGTCTTGAATGAATGCGGATCACTTTAAACAGCGTGACAAATTGCTTTATGGAATGCAATGGCACCATTTAACCTCACACTCTTAGCTTTTTAAAGATTTTTTTTCCCCTCCAGGTTCTGTCTTAAGCTATCTTCCAGGGAACCCTTGTTGCTGTTGTTTTTAAAGTCACTCTTTGTCCACTTTTTTGGGACAAGGTGTGCAAAATGAGCCGGAGTTGAGCTGACGGTCCGGTCCGTGTAGAGATACTTGAAAAAAACATCTAAAAATGCCACAGGTCTGCAGAGGGTGCGTAAACCAAGCACATGGTTTGGGGCGCTGTCTGTTGCGTTCTCTAGCTAAAAAACAGCATGGGTGGGGATTTCCAGCAAAGAGGGGTGATCTCTCTTAGAAAGCCCACAGGGAGGTCAAAGATACCACCAGTGGGGACAGAAAATTTGGGGGTGTGCAGAGAAGAGATGTGGAGCACTGATCTAAAATTCGTCTTGAGTTGGAGGGGTGCATTTATAGCAAAGATCCCTCCAGGAGCCAACTGTAATCTCACAGTTACAGTGAGATCTCAGACTCTTGGTATCTTATGCGTCAGACCCCACAGGTCTCAAAAATGTGTATTCTTGCGCAAATTCCATCCATCCGACAGCTCTGTTTTTCCGGAATGAGCCACAGCAAATCCATCGGAGGTTGCCGTTTCAGGCTGGGGGTGCGACCTGGCTGTAACTTCACGCCAAGTGTGTCCCAAGTGGAACCTGGGCATTGCACCCTCATTTCCCCATGGGCACACGGCACGCCTCAATCCCGTGGGGTTTGCAAAAGCGGACGCTGTGTGGCATGGAAAAGTTTTAGTCTGCCGTGGTACGAACATCTTCGTGGAAGGAAAGCACATCCCTGAGATTTATACTTTGATATGAAATTTATATAAATTTTTTGTATAGGGAAGGCACATTTTTTAGGGTGATTTTAAATCCAAGCAAGCATTGATGAGCTCCAGTAATTTGCTTCCAACAGAGGACTAGCATCTTGTGTTGGGGGTCCCAGTACCTGAAAGTCAGAGGTCAACATTTAAAAACAAATACTTTGATTTGGGGGCTAATAATGAATCAATTAATTTATTTGGTAGTGGTAGTGTCTGCATTTTGCAATTCTGGGGAAGAGGGTGTGTACAGGTGTGTGTGTACATGATATTCCTAGTTCCAGAAGAGATGGCTGATGAATGGTTTGGAGACTGATTGATTAATTGAATGCCATCAAGTCATTTTCAGCTCCTAGCATCCACCGTACCTAATTCTGTTTATATCTCTCTGCGTCTGACTTCTAAGAACCCTAAATTTCAGCTGTCCCCCTTCTTGGATATACCATCCCCATTTTATCGCTGAAGGCTCCCAGCTTCAGGTCTTCACCAGCCTGTTTTGTAGAGAGTACTTTTAATAGGCATTGGTTTTTCTCAAAAATAATGGTTTCTCCAAGGATTTCTCCAGCTCCCGTCTTAAGTCTGTTATCGCGAAAGGTTGATCTAATCTAACATGGGTGGGTTTGCAACAAAGAGGGCTACAGAAGTTTATTCTATGCCCTTTTCCACATTGTACCCAGCGCCATGGGGTTTCTCTTACCTATGTTCTTATCCAACCGAGGGGTGGGTTAATAATATTGGAAAGGATCTGGGGGTGTAGCGTTGATCCTGAAAAATAAAAATTGAGGGTCATGTGAATTTCCTTGACAATATCTGCGGGGGCAACCTGGAATTGCAGAATACAATTGATCTAAAAATACCCGTGGATGGTTCAGCTGGTTGATGAATGGGTAGATTTTTCTACTTCTACTAAGTAGAAAAATCTACTTAATGAGCAGGTTAATTACATTACAACTGTGTGGCCTTCATTTTCCACAGGAAAATAAAACTGCAAGGTTTTTGTGCTCCAAGGAGTTCACATTTACAATTTAACCCGGAAGATGCAAGAAGAGACCGGCCGATGCTAGTCAAGAAATATATTGGGGTTATTAGGAAAACGATGAAAATGATCAATGGAGGCTTTATTGAGCAAATCTACATTGACCAATATCCTTGACCGTTGTGAAGGGCTGGACCTATTGGTGTGAGTCACTAATGTAACACTTTGCAAGTGTCTGCACGTGTTAAGCCTTGCTCCATCCAAAATGCGCTTGGAAGATGGGATTTTAGGAGTCCCTGAACCTAAAAAGCAATTAAATGCATGTTGTGCTTAACCTGTCCCCACTAAACTAATATAATCTCTCCCAGTTTTATCCAGTCGGCTTCCACAGAGAATGAACCGGTTTAAATCAAACGCGATTTCTCATTGGGTTGTCGAATGAGTTGCGTGCCTCGCGCAAGGCGCTGCCCCGTGCCATTTAGCAATTAGGTTTTCATCGTCGGGTGCCGATGACGGACACGCGGTTTGGAGATTATGGCTTAGATTGTAAATCCGGGTGCAAATTCACTAAAGCAGGGTGGAGCCCAGCGCAGCTCGGTTCTGTTGGGCCAATCTAGGAGATTGGTGAATTCAGCAAACCATGGCTGAAGAAACCAGGGCTTCGTGTGCGTGTTAACCCAGGTGAAGGGAGCATTCCTGGGGCGTCAATCAACTGGTGGCTCTCTCACTTTTTAAACGACAGTCTCGTTTGGGAGAAGCTGTCGGGGGACCCAAGAGAAGCTTTGGGGTGTTGAAATGGCTTGTGCGAAATTGGGGCAACTTCTCCCAGATCTTGGTGGCTCGCTAAAGGAATTCCCCAATAATGCTATAGCATCTTATTCATTCCTCTGTCCTAGGCTGAGCGGTTCGTGTTTTCAAATGTAACTTCTGCAAGTTTTCCCTGCTTTGGGGAGAGATTTGAATGGCTAAGATCAGATCATCATTTACGTTGGGGGTCGAAGATTGAATCTCTTTACGCCTCTAGGTTAGAACTCAGTCCAGAGACCTGGCCTGGACTTTTTAATTTAATTTATTTATCTCATTTACCATCAAACCTGCCCCAATGTCTTTTCAGGATCCCAATACTGAGTGCTCCTGTGTGACATTTCAGCTGCTCACGGCCTGACCGATGTCCAGCAGAGCTGACCACTGCTGGGGAGGCTGGTGACAGGGCTGTTCTTCCATTGCAATGCGGGAAGGCTGCTTTTACTGAAAAAAATCAGGGCAGAGAGCAGGATGGGGTCCTTCCACTCGGTTGGATAAGTAGAACATCCACATACAGGAGCAGTATACCTTTGTGACAGGGAGGGTGAGAAACAAATGTTTCCTTTGTTCGGAAGAGCAGCTGGGAGAGTCGATGGACTTTCATCCTTTGCTTGCAAGTTTGACGTCCCCGGTGCCAGCCTGTCAGTCCAGTCCAGCTCTCCCAAACGTGGCTTGGGTGACAATCCCCATCATCCTCAGACACTGGCCTGGCAGGGTGGGGAGGATGGGAGTGGTAGTCTAGTATGTCTGGCTGTTGGGAAAAGATCCTCGCCCAGTTGTCCTTAATTTTTTTTTTTAATCCATTCGATCGTGTCCGATTCTCGGAGACTGCCTGGACGAGTCCCTGCCGTTTTCTTGGCAAGGTTGTTTCAGAAGAGGTTTGCCATTGCCTGCTTCCTAGGGCTGGGAGAGAGGGACTGGCCCAAGGTCACCCAGCTGGCTTCATGCCTAGGCAGGACTAGAACTCACAGTCTCTTGCTTTGTAGCTCGATGCCTTCACCACTTCACCAAACTGGCTCTAAATTATATCTTAAATTCAATTAAATTCAATTCTACCAGGCAGAATTAAGGACTGAGCAGATGGGTGGCATCGGAGAGCCTCCAGGAATGAACAGACGTGGTGCACCCCGGTCACCCTCCTCTGCTTAACCTCCTCCTCCCCTCCTGCTTCTCTCCCCTGCAGAAGTCCAGAAGCTCTCCAGTCTTGTCCTGCCCTCGGAGGTCATCATCGCCCAGAGCTCCATCCCCGGGGAGGGGCTGGGCATCTTCTCCAAAACCTGGATCAAAGCCGGCACCGAGATGGGACCCTTCACCGGCCGGATCATCTCTCCGGAGCACGTGGACCTCTGCAAGAACAACAATCTCATGTGGGAGGTAAAGGCAGAACGTGGGCGTGCAAAAAGGGACAGAAGAACATGGGCTGGGGCTTACAGAAACACACGTGGGTGCGCAGGGCACACACGAGAATTGCACAAACCAGCACATGCATTCATTTCAAACCCGTCTACGACCAGACTCCGAGGTACTGATACACACGTGCAGACCGCCTCCTGGGGAATCCGTTGACCTGACTGTCCCTTGGCTGTCATTCTCCACCTTCTGATTTCACCTCTCCATCTTCGATGGTCCCGGTCTCCCAACTACTGACGGGGACTGGCCTGAATAATTCATTTACTTATCTATTTAATCGGTCAATTGATTGATTGACTTGGAGGGCCACCTAGTTCTGGGCAATTCACATCAGATTAAAAACAAACCAAGAAAAAATTCCAAAAAGGGGGAAGAAAAATCCAGGTCTTTTTAAGATATTCAGAGGTGGGAGGCCTCATCCTCAAGGGAAGTTCTTCTTCTCTTAATAGTCCTCGATAGTCGAGGAAGCCAGTGTGAAATTTTAAATAATTCTCAGGCTGTTTTCTCTGATCAGTTTGACCGTCTTAGCTCAAAAAGATGGATTTCAGTGTAGAACATAGAAACCTAGCCTTTCCAAAGACCGTGAAGCTAGACTTTGCACAGCATGTTTTAACCTGGTTACTGGATTAATTCGCAGAGTTTCTGAATTTGCACAATACCTTGGCTGTATTCATGTGACAAAGCAGACCCTGCAAATGCAGGAAAAACGCTATGGCTGTATTCACACGACTCATTTTACCCTGCTCAGGGGAGAGCCGAGTGGCTCCATTCTCACAACCTGCTAACCATGGTTAGTTTTAACTTGGTTTGTTTGGGGCTTAGCAGGTTGTCGGAAGCCAGCCTGTTTGGTTAATTTATGGTGGCTTGTTTCATGCTTCCCCAGGAAGCGGGCGAAATCAAAGTTAAGCCGCTAAAGAAACTAACTAAGGTTTAAACCAACCCAGCTTGGCCTGTTACATGAATGAAGTGGCTAGTTTTTGTAACCTATCTTGAGGATCAGGGGTGGAATGTGGGGTTCGAGCTGCCATCAGAGACATAATGGATGCTTTCTAATATTTGCTTTATTCAAAAATATATAAATGAAAGCAAATGACAGCCATTCAGCCCAGGAATAAAGGAATCTGTCCATTAAACCTCAGGGTTTATCTTGAGGATCAGGGGTGGAATGTGGGGTTCGAGCTGCCATCAGAGACATAATGGATGCTTTCTAATATTTGCTTTATTCAAAAATATATAAATGAAAGCAAATGACAGCCATTCAGCCCAGGAATAAAGGAATCTGTCCATTAAACCTCAGGGTTTTTTTCCTCCTCACACTTACGTTAATTCTGTTTCTGTATCTATTTGGAGTGTGAGATAGATAGATATTCTGTATATTCTTGTGATGCACGCTTTCTTTTTTTTCTTCTTTGCAAAGCTTTTCTTAACAGGCACATATTTTTGCAAGCGACCAGACTTTTCATATTACATTTTTTTAAAAATGTAATTTCTTCCACGCCGGCATCATTATGTGCCGTTCCCCACAGCAGAGGCCTTTCGAGTGGGATTTGAATGGGAGAATAAGCCTATTTTCTGGGCATTTCCCAGCTGATTGGCAAAGTGTGAAACTGAATGCATT